GGGGGGGGGGGGGGGGGGGGGTAAGCCGGCCCTGCAACTTTTCTGAGAGTTAGTGCACATGTGCCCTTTACGTAGTAACTCCACTGACTTGACTGGCTGACTTGCATGATCATCATAAATTGGAATCTTCACCATGCTCACCAGTGACGGAGCCAAAGCGGGGGCAGAGAGGGCAAGTTTTTCGGGCAAAAATCTCATAACTAGGTTAAAGATTCGGCCAATCTCAGATATTTCAACAGTGAGCTGTGGACACTTTTACTTAAAAATTCCAGTTTCTGAGACTAAAGTTTGATTGGTCAAAAAATTAAATGGCCTATTTGTCCCTTTAAGACACTGTGGGTTGGCAGCAATAGGTACCTTTCCTACGTGTAGTTCTTTTGACTATTCAAGTATATTAAAAAGCGAGAGGAATTAAATATACCTAAATATAGATAGGTGACGTCAAAACATGTCTAATCCTTTCACAACTAGCCTTCTGACTGATATGGTTCAAGGTTCTGTATATTAAAAGAGACCTCCCTGAGGTGGCTTGCCCAATATCATAATATGATATGAGACGCCGACCGTCCAAGGCCAAGAAAGCCTCTTTCTCAACTATTAAGCCGAGTTGCCGTGGATATTAGTGGTCGTGGGTTCTAATTAGGATCGGCATGTGAAAGTCTGGTGACCTTGAATAAGTTATTCGGCTTTCTTTATATTTCACTGTAAACCCAGCTGTAAATAGTTACCTATAATCTGGGAAAGATTAATACCAAGAGGTTTGGCAAAGGACTAACTGTTAGGAAGGATCCTGGATAACTTAAGTTGTTATGCTTGTAAAAAATGGGTGTTTCTTTCGTTTTCACTAATAAATCAATCAGTTATTAGTCTATGTTGAATATAAAGAAGTTGTCTTGGGGGAGTATACAGGTGGCCTTTCTACGGGTGGGGGAGGGGGGGAGGTCAGGGAATGGTCATGGTCTCCCTGAACTTAAGACTGGCCCGACTGTGCCCCCTCTCTCAACCTTAGAAAGAAATTTGAAACTGGGGACAGCGAAGCTGGGTCAGCCGCATTTCTGGTGACTATATGTGACCCCCGCACATCGTATCAGGTATTAAGTTGCACTTTCAGCTTATTACTGGTATTAAAGGGGACTCAAATCTGGATATTGACTATATCTTCTGAACGGAGAAAGCTATTGAGATGGAATTTGTATCAAAATGTAGCTGATGATGCCAGGAATCAAAATATACTAATAGCTCTATATACTCCAAACGCTACTTAATACCTGGTTTGATGTGCAGGGTCACATTTGTTGGGTGAAAATAAAAACAAGTTATTATAACAAAAACAGTTGATATATTACAATATGACAGTAAATACTAGGGAATATTTTCATCTCTCAATGCTAAACAGACCACCGCCTTCTGATGTCCACTGTATTCTCTTTCTATTTTCTCTTCCTCTATATGCCATAACCTCGCCATATTGTCTGAGGAGGCTGCAATAATAATAATAATAAAAAAATGAAATTTAGTTTCAGTTCAACGTTCTTATGAAGACAATTTTAGCACCAAATAAGCATAAGCTTACAAGTTCGATTTCCAACTGTCAAGGGATCTTTATCAGGAACAGCCTGTAGCAGATGTGGTCTTGGATTCCTGTCCATCTGAATGACTAGATGCCTTATCTATGTCAGCCCCTGTCCACCTACATGACTGACGGGAGAAAGTTTCTGAGGATGTTTTCTCAGTGTCTGACAGGACTGAACTCTGGACCTAGCAAGAAAGCAAGTGTCTAGCTCACTGTAAATGCCGTCCCACAAAGCAAAACATAAAGATCTATGCCCTTTATCTTAAAAAGGTGGTACGATAATGATTTATTGTAACTATGGTATTTTATATTGAGTAATACCATAGTTGCGACAAAATTGATCCTAAGATATTTTGTGAAATGGAACCCTGTATTTTAATGAAAATGTCGATGAACAATACCTGTGACAATGTACACTGAATCATCACTAAAAGCACAATCCCACACCCACCGCTGTGTTTTCTCTTTCAGTATCCTGAATTTAGTTAAATCTGTTGTCCTCCATATAACACAGCTTCCATCAGCTGACGTTGTAGCTAATAAACTATCGTAAGCAAGAGAAGATAACTCATTATGATAATATGTAAATTTTGATAAGAAGTGATACATGAAAGGGACCATATTCTAGTACAATTTTTGTGCCGAGCAAATGGCGTCGTGAGCGAAATGTCAATATTAATATCCCCATTATCTGAGGTCTTGGCTATCAATCTATCATAACAAGAGAAGATAACTCATTTGATTCAAAGGAATCATGAAAAAGTTTTAAAAAAAGGTTACATTAGGGTTTTATATCTGGCAACACAGTGTTAAGGTCAATGTCTTCAAGAGTAAAATGTAAATATCAATGCCACAAACACTGCTTTTGTTGCAGTTTGGTGATAAAACTTACGTGGAATCTGGACTGAATAAACATTTTAAAACATATTTTTCATGGGCTTTAAACTGAGATTTGGGATGAAGTTCGGTTGGTTTATCTCCCTTTCCTCCAGTTAGAGTCCAAATAAAACAATTTCCCTGAAAAAACACAGAGAAATTTTCCAAATGCAATTTACAACATTAAAAATGTTAAACAATTTTCTTCAAATAAAAGCAATTTCCCTAAAATATATGACAAAACTACTCCCAAATTGTAAAATAAAACCCTTTTCAATAAAAAATTTAAAACATTTTCCATTATAAGAGTAAGAAATAGAAAATTTTTCAGTGAGTTTTTATTGCTTTCTGATTATTGTTAGTTTTGAATGTTATTGCTTGATAATAAAACATCAATAAAGTTCAATATAAAAATGCATATTTAAAGTTGACTTTAAGGTCTTGACTATCAGGAAGAAATCATTCTATACCTGTTTTAAACTATAGTTCCTACTTACTTTAATATTAGTGGCAGCCATCATGGTTCCCATGGCATCTATAGTAATTGACTGTATTGCTGTAGTACCTTCTGGTACCTAAAATATTTTTTATCAATTTTTATCACTGGGATACAATAAAAGTTATTTAGTATGTGTTTCAGGGACACTTAAAGCTCCTGTTCACCATTCAAATTTGCCATTTAACTAGTTGCTCTTCTGAGCCAATTTCAGAAAACCTTGATCAGATCATGGCGCCTCTATCAACAAAATCATTTACTTTGAATGATACAAATCGAAGTTACAACTGTCCATTTTAAACATACAAAAGCTAAATATCTTCTCTAAAGTAAAATATATAAACAAGGGATATTTTCCAAAAGATTCAAGAAATAAATAAAAACTCACCAAACGTTCATTTTTATCAGTTTTTAAATCCCAGATGTGTATTGAACCACCTTGATCTCCAACAAATAATTCAGCCTACAAATACAAATAGAAATGTTTTACATTTGAATATCACAATAATGCACATAATCTTTTCCTTCTAGCAAAATAATCCACATTTCACCCTCCATTGGATGACAATCTTCCAGTTCAAGATAGTACAGTGCAAAACACCATTTCACTTTTTAAGCCATAAGGACAGAAGATGTATAAACTCTTTTAAAGTTTTCATAAATTTAATAAAATTCTTAGTTTTAGTGAAATTGCAGGAACCTCACTGGAAATAAACAATGGTGTTAATTTATGATATCAGTTGAATAACTGTACTTGTCATTAAGAATTGATATTATTTGAAAATGTTACCTGATTTGGATGTAAACAAACACATGTGACTGGACTGTGAACTTGAAATATCCTCGAACATTGTAAATTTCTTGCCCTAGAATATCAATATTAAATCAAAGTCTTCAATGTCTGGAATCAAATCTTACATAGAAGTACTAATTCTGACCACAGAAACTATCATTGTGCTCAGATGTTCTCATCCAGCTTTGAAACTTCATATTAGATTTTTGAGAGCATTTTTTACAGCTGTTCTGACAACTTTTATGAAATGGGATACATGAAAATAAACAAGTGTTTCATAACATTTCCTTTATTCCAATCTTTGGTATAGGTATTATTGAGTCAGTGGAACTCTGGATGAAATGTTTTAAAATCTGAATTATCAAAATAGAGTTTCACAATTTAGCAAAACTGATCATGGATGCTTAATCTAATTTTGAAGAAGACAAGAATTTTCTTGATCAAATAATAAGCTGGAAGATTTCAAATATTTGCAAAATATTGATCTTCTGTTTGCTTGGCAGTGTCATCTTTACTAATAAAATACCTGCATCTCAAAAGTAAGATCTCATACCTCAAGTCCCAGATTCTAGCTGTACAATCCTCACCACCAGTAAACATCCAATTACCTTCATCATGAAATCCAACCTCTACCACGTTTTTAGGTACACCATCATAATTGATTATAGCGTTGGGGTTGTTCGAGTTTATATCATAGATTCTGATGTGGGTATAACCTGAAATAAAGGATAAAACAGTTAGCTTTCAAGCTATACATGCACACGTCAGTCTGATATGGAATAAAATGTTCTCAAGTAGCAAACTTTTTCTTGATTAATTGATAACATATTGGTATTAAGAGTGAAAAGGTTTTTAAAAAAATTCACATGAAAGCACCAGCCACAGTCACAAATAAAGAGATCTTCTGGATAAAAAATAAGATAGTGAGCTTTGAAAATAAAACTGTAATTGAGAGATGCACACACGCCTGACTGAATTGGAATGATGCAAATTGATTCTGTCAGTGTCCCTGATACACATAAAATTTTAAAAAACCCTCTCTACAAACCCTTTATTAGACAAAAGTTTTGTAAATGCTTTATACCTGCAGCTGCTATTCTTTTTTTATCAGGTGTTATTTCTAATGCATTTACTTGCTACATTAAAATTAAGGATGAATTTACTTTTATAATAAATTTTCCGGAGTGCTTGATGACTGTACCCATTTAAAAAATCAGTTCCATGAAAAAGCAATGTTACTAGTGAGCTATTCAAAATGTCTTAAAAATTTCCACAGACCCAAGACTATTGAGTCCCATTATGTTGCTTCATGTACAGTTATTAGTATGCGCATGATTTTTGTTATTTACTAAATTATTGCCACTTTAGAACCTCCTTTTTCAGAATGTATCAGCCCCACCCCCATCATCATTTTAGAAAGGATACAGAGTCGGGATGTTGAACTGTCCTGTAGCATAATCCTGTATGCGCTTGCCAGAATCTTATGGTGTGATCATATCCTGCTGTTGCCAAAACCACTGGTTCGGGAATGCCACTCATTATAACGGCATATTTATCGCTGTACAAACAATAATTTGTGAATGTGAGAGAAAATAGAAAAAAGGGATCTTCAATGATGGAGGTCAAAAAGTGAAGCGGATGTAAACAATTTTCAGGTTTGCAACAAACTAGAATCAGTAATTTGATTGGTTCAAATTGTGATAAAACTACTTCCGGTTACATTTGTTGTTGAAGAAAGCGTTGCAAACACGTGCTTTTATAATTTCGCCTCAGTGAAGCGATAAATCGCAGAGAGGAGAAGAAAAACTTTGTTAAAGACAAATTTAATTAGTTGTATCCGTTCATATTACTACTTCAAAAATGGTAAGTTGATAAGCCTTGACACCAGAAATTCGATTAATGCCGCTCCCGGTAGGTAGCGTCGAACTTAATCCTGAAATGAATTACGAAAGAAATGAAATGGAAATAGAGTTTTACGTCTAATGTAGAATCGAAGTGTGAGCAAATTAGAGTAATGAATTCTGAGTTTCTGTTAGGTAGATATTATTTCTGGTTGTTCTTTCTGTCTTATCAGCATGCTACTTAAACTCTTATTCAATTGTAGGAACTGCCAAGCCCAAGTGCCAATTGAACATCCTGGACCAACAACAGGGCATCTTGGCAGTATAACTATAGTTAGTTATAAGCTAACACCAAAGATCACCCTTGAGCTTTTGTTACCTGTTTTGTTTTTCAGGCTGAAGAAATTAATCCTAAAGCTTATCCTCTTGCCGAAGCTCAACTGACTCAAGGCATCCTGGATTTAGTGAAACAAGCTTCAAATTATAAACAGATCAAGAAGGGGGCCAATGAAGGTATCGTATGGATTCTAGCGAATAATCCCCATTTTGTCATTAAGCCTGTTTTTTCATGCCTTTGGTGATTTCTGAAAACACTTGCCGAAAGGTTTTAGTGACCTACTTTAGTCACAATTTCTGTTTTATTAAAGCTGGCTTGCAAAACCCTCATACCCTTTTTTCTGGGAAAGATCAATGTCGAGGAGTAGCTGGTAGAAAGGATCCTGATGAACCAAAGTTGTTATCAGATTGATATTTATTCTATTTCAGCCACCAAGACGTTGAATCGTGGTATTGCTGAGTTTATTGTCATGTCTGCTGATGCCCAGCCATTAGAAATTCTACTTCATCTACCTCTTTTATGTGAGGACAAGGTGAGTTGAGGGTTGAAAAAGTTGTGGAGTTTTAGACTTTTGATATCCAATTCTATCAACAAAAACATTTGTATCTTAAAGATGTGTTATTTGTGCACCTTGATTTTATATTGTTTGTATAATTTTTTCTGATTAATTTTGTTTTTAGGTATATATAAGTTAAGCTAGATGCAAGTAAGGCTTTTGAGTCTAATCTCTGACCCTAATAAAGAGATTATAATGTTATTAATTT